TTACCTTGGAATCTTTCAGAACACATAAGTGGCACACCCAGGTGCCACCACCTTGGCTCTGGCACAGTGCCAACATCTGCTCAGCCTGTGTGTGTGTTTTAAATGCCCCATGTATTTTAGGTCAAATTCTTATCGTGGGTGAGAATAAAAACTGTCCTAAAGCTGCTATTTTAAGGTTTGTGGGGGAGGTTGGAGGTTGGGGGAGGTTCTGGGGGCTCACACTGAGCCTGCATCTGTCCTTAGATGGGATGTTGATATTAAAAGGCAGGAGTGATGAGAACCATCAGGAGGCATTTGGCCCGCACCCTAGCCTGGCCATGTAGGAGACAGGGCACAAGGGGTCTCATCGCCTACCTGTCAGGTGGGCTTGGTCATTCAGCAGATGGCTCAGCGATGCAGAGAGGCCAGCTTGCTGCGCACCTGCTGCATGAGGTTCCCTGTAAAAATGACAGGGCTGGCCCCATCACCAGTTTCATCTCCAACTGCACCTGGAACTGCTTGGCCTTGCCAACAATGGGTGGCTGCAGGTCACTATAGCCCTGAAAAGGCCTTGGTGTCACCTGGAATGGCAGGCTTGGCCAGCAAGACCAGCCATGATCATACAAGCTGGGACCCAGAGAGATGGCAGGAGACAGCCAAGCTAATGGCTTTGTATGCCAATCCTTCCCAGTTTTTTATTTTTCTTAAGATGGAGTCTCATTCTGTTACCCAGGCTGGAGTGCAGTGGTGGGATCCTGGTTCAATGCAACCTTTGTCTCCCGGGTTCAGGTGATTCTCCTGCCTCAGCCTCCCAAGTAGCTGAAATGACAGGCACACACCACAGTGCCCAGCTAATTTTTCTATTTTTAGTAAAGACAGGGTTTTGCCATGTTGGCCAGTCTGGTCTCAAACTCCTGAGCCCAAGTGATTTGCCCGCCTTGGCCCCCAAAGTGCTGGAATTACAGGCGTGAGCCACTGTGCCTAGTCCTTCGTCAATTTTTTAACTGCAGATTTCTCAAAATTAGAAACCTGTGTTACAAACTCAGACATATATACAAAGGACTCCTCTTTTCTCCTTGACAACCCCCCTCATTGGATCTATCAAAAACTCAGTTGACCGTCACTATGTGACTAGCTCTCACCTCTGCTGCACACCAGCTCCAGCCCTGGTCATTCCAACTATCTCACTGCAACATCCTCCTGGCTCTCCCGGCTCCCATCCTGCCACTGGCAACGGATCTCCACGTGGTGACCAGACACGTCCAACCATGGCACACTAGCATTTCTTACAGTACACCCCAAAGTCCTGAGGCCAGTGAAGCCAGAACTTTGTTGGTCATTGGTGCAGACACTGGCAGGGGGGCCATGGGGACAGTTCACTACACTCCAAGGCCCCACATGGGAGATCCTCTAGAAAAGCCATGAGCAACTACAAATATCATCTTTGATGGCCCCGCCAGACGGTGAACAAACCCCACCCATCCCTCTCATAGCCACTAGCTAGTCAGTTCACCAAAAGTATGTCAAAACAATACTATTACCAGACCCTCACTACTTAACGCTGTGTTTCCCTGATCCCCACCGACATGTGTGCAGACGTGTGTATGAATGTGTGTGCATCTGTCTGTGTACAGATGTATCTGTACATGAATGTGTGTAGATGTGTATGTATACAGAAATACCAAAATACACAAATATGTGTGTATGAATGTGTGGATATGAATGTGTATGTACAGTGATGTGTACATGGTAGTGTCTATATGTAGATATGTGTATGAATGTGTGGGTATACAGACATGTGTGTGGATGTATAAAGATGTGTATATATACGGATGTGTGTATATGAATGTATGTGTACAATATGTCTACATGTGGATGTAGATGCTCACAGATTTTCCTGCTGACAGGCATATCCTAGTGCTGGCTTTCTCCAGTGTGTATCAGAGACTGCGTGGTGGTGTCAGAGCTTCCTCAGGGTGCACGTGAACAAGAGCACAGAATTTCTCTCCCAAACCACTACATTTTGCAGATTAAAGAGAACACTAGTCACAAATGCGTCAGGTCAGCAGGCATAAACTGGGGCTCTGCAGGCAAACCAGGACCCAACCTTGACCCACACGGACCAACCTTAAATCCTACAAACTTTAAGGCTGAATTCAAGCCTCGAACCCCTGGGCCCAGAAATTCGAGGTTGAACCCAAGCTCTGGCACTTTGTATTCAAGAACTCATCTGCCTCAGTTTCCTTATCTTATATGGGGTTACAAAGAGGACTTGAAGAAGGGACCTCCTGCCTGCTGGAACATGCCCCAGAAAGTTAGAGTGCCAGCTGTTACTGTAATTTTGATGAGTCTGGGGCAGATGGAAGTAGAATTTCTCCAAATGCAAATAAACATTTCCAGACTTCAGACAGCTCTATAGGGAGTGGAAGGAAGGTCCAAGGGAAGGTACAGGCAATCTGTGCTTGCACATTTAGCAAATAACAAGACATTCAAGGTCCCCTGGGGGTTCTGGAAATGAGGCAGAAGTCTCAGCCATCAGACAGGTGGGGCTTTAGCAGGAAGACGGCTCTCCCCTGACATGAGTCTTCACCCAGGCTAGGTGGAAGTGGAGAGAGTATTTATGCAGCAAGACATCCAGCCTGGCTTCAGACTCTCCACTCCAGGCCTCTGAGAAGACACTGGAAACTGAGGCAGAATTGGGCGATCCACTGCTGAACGTGCCCAGTGGTCATGCCTGGTGGGATCAAGTCTAAAGCTGCTATTTGTACCTGGCTGGAGTACAGTGGCACGATCTCGACTCACTGCAACCTCCACTTTCCAGATTCAAGCAATTAACCTGCCTCACCCTCCTGAGAAGCTTGGCCTACAGTCGTGCACCATGCCCAGTTAAGTTTTGTATTTTTGGTAGAGACAGGGTTTCTCCTTGGTCAGCCTAATCCCAAATTCCTGACTTCATGTGATCCTCCTGCCTCAGCCTCCCAACATTTGTTTACCTTTTGAAGTCACCAATCTGCGTGAAAAGGGGGTAGAAGTTTTAAATCTTCTCCCCAGGATAAAGGAGACAGACACGAAACTTCAACACAATGACAAGGGCTTCAAGTGACTTTCTAAGTTCCATCCAGGTACCCTTGGGTACAATCCCTTGAAAAGCACCTACTAAGATAAAAATGAGCCTGGACAACATAGTAAGACCCATCTTCACAAAAAAGAAAATAAATAATAGAAAGGCATGGAGGCACAGGTCTTAGTCCCAGCTACGTGGGAGGCTGAGGCAAGAGGATCACTTGGGCCCAGGGGTTCAAGGCTGCAGTGATTTAGGATCATGCCATTGCATAGAAGACCTTGTAAAAGAAAGAGAAAAGTGGGGGAGAGAGAAAAGGAGGCGAAGAGAGGGGGAAAAGACATGGGGGAAAGGGAGGGAAAGAGGTACGAAGAGAAAAAGAGAGGAATAGAGAGAGGAGGGAAAGGAAAGAAGAGAAAAGAAAAGAAAAAAGAAAGGAAGAAAAGAGAAAAGAAATGAGAAAAACATATAAACTTTGTGGCCAGGGAATTCCACTGTTATGAATTTACTCTGGAGAGAGAATTGTGTAAACCTGGGAAAAACTCAAGAGTACTTCATTAAGAAACTACATGAATACATTTCATTCCATGGACTGTTACACGATCATTTGCACTACACGGGAGACTCTGATTTTTTTAGGTGGATATATTAACTCCACGTGCTGATTGTGTGCATAGATTATCTTGGAAAGGAATCACCAAAAAACCCTAACAGCGATTGGCTTTGAGGAGGCGTGAGAGAGTGGCTTTAAGGCTGCACCAACACCAACCAATAGAACTTTTTTGCAATAAGGACCATATTTCTGGGCCATCTGCAGCTGTGAAGCACCTGAAATGTGGCCCACGCAAACAAAGAACCAAATCCTTCGTTTTCTTTAATGTTAATTTATTTAGATTTTTTTTCTTTTTTGAGATGGAGTCTCGCTCCGTTGCCCAGGCTGGAGTAAAGTTGCGTGATCTTGGCTAACCGCAACCTCTGTCCCCCAGGTTCAAGCAGTTCTCCTGTTCCCAAGTAAATGGGATTACAGGGGCTCACCACCACATCCGGCTACTTTTTGTGTTTTTAGTAGAGATGGGGTTTCACTATGTTGGTCAGGCTGCTCTCCAACTCCTGACCTCAGGTGAGCCACCAGACTCGGCCTCCCAAAGCACTGGGATTACAGGCATGAGCCACCATATCTGGCCTCACTTAGATTTCAATAAACACATAAGCCACTGGATGCCATATGGGAAACTCAGATCTATAGTCTTTCATAGTTTTTGAACTTTGAATCATTTAAATGCATGGCCTATTCTTTTTAGTTATAGAACTTAATAGAATAGTATTTAGATTGTATTAATTTAAATGAAATCTACCATAGAATTTAAATTGAACCAGCGAATGTGGATATATAAAATATTGCCAAGGTGTGTGTGTGTGTGTGAGTGTGTGTGTGTGTATTAAGTGTCTGTGTGTGTATATATGTATGTATATTTTGTTTTTTGTTTTTATCTTGAGCTCTGCCACTCAGTTCGGAGTGCAGTAGTATGAAGTTGCCTCACTGCAACCTCCGCCTTTAGGGTTCAAGTGGTTCTCCTGCCTAAGCTTCCCGAGTCAACGGGGTTACAGGTACACACCACCACCTCCAGCTCATTTTTGTATTTTCAGTAGAGAAAGCGTTATACCATGTTGGCCAGGCTGGTCTTGAACTCCTGACCTCAAGTGGTCCACCTGCCTCGGGGCCTCTTAACATGCTGAAGATTACAGGCATGAGCCAGGATGCCCAGCTGCAAAGGTGTGTTTTTGAGTAAAATGAACAACTTACAAACAAAAAAATAGGGAACAGCTGGGAGTGGTGGCTCATTCCTATAATCCTAGCACTTTGGGAGGCTGAGGTGAGAAGATCACTGGAGCCCAGGAGGTCGAGGCTGCAGTGAGCCATGATTGCACCACTTCCCTCCAGCCTGAGTAATGTGGCAAGACCCTGCCTCAAGAAAAACTAAATTAAGTTTTCAGGTTGTTTTATGATATGTGCCTTCCTCAAAACTTGTTACGATATCATCACCTCACCCATCTGATGCAAAAAAGAAAAAATAAAACCCAGAGACTCAAACTAAAAATATTTGCAAATCTATAGCGTTAGGTGTTGTCCTGTGTCTCCCTGAAAGACACTGAAGCCCTACGCCGCAGGATCTGTGGATGTGACCTCATTTGGAAACAGTCTCTTCACATGTGATTGAGCTAACCTGAGGTAATGAAGGTGAATCCTAATCCCGTGTGCCTGTGTTCTTATAAAAGGGGATGTGTGGACAAATAAACCTACAAAGGGAAGACAATGTCAAGACAGAGACAGAAGACCACCTACAAGCCGAGGAACTCTGGATGCTCTGAGAATCCATGAGCGAGACCTGGGACAGACCCTCCCTCACAGCCTTCACAGAAAAAAACAATCAATCAATAATCCCTTGATTTTAGACACCTGTGAGAATAAATCTCTGTGGTTGAAGCCACACAGTTTAGGGTACTTTGTTAAGGCAGCACTGGGAAATGAATGCAGAGTTCTTGGGGCACACATCAACACTTCTGAATAAAATTTGGGACATGGCATGCTTGAACTTACAATTTATACTTTTCTCTACTCTGAATTCTTTTTTATTTTTGAGAGACAGGGTCTCACTCTGTCACCCAGGCTGGAGTGCACTGGCACAAGCATGGCTCACTGCAGCCTCCACCTTCTGGGCTCCAGCAATTTTCTTGCCTCAGCCTCCTGAATAGCTGAGACTACAGGCACATGTCACTGTGCCTAATTTTTTAAAAATGTTTTGTAGAGATGAGGTCCTGCTATGTTGCCCAGTTTACCTGGGACTCCTAGCCTCAAGTGATCTTCCCACCTTGGTCTCTCAAAGTTTTATAAGCCATTGTAACTGGCTTGCCTTTTTTTTTTTTTTTTTTTTTTTAAAAGACAGAACCTCTATTGCCCAGGCTGGAGTGCAGGGACAAGGTCTCAGCTCACTGCAACCTCCATCTCCTGAGTTCAAGCAATGCTTTTGCCTCAGCCTCACGAGTAACTCAGCTTATAGGCTTCTACCACCACACTCAGCTAATTTTTGTATTTTTATTACATGTGGGTTTCACCAGTGGGCCAGGCTGGTCCCGAACTGCTGACTTCAGGTGATCCGCCCACTTCAGCCTCTCAAAATTCTACCATTGTGGTTCAGTGCAACCTCTGCTCCTGGGTTCAAGCAATTCTCCTCCCTCAGCCTCCCAAGTAGCTGGGATTACAGGTTCCTGCCACCATTGCCAGTTTTTGTACCTTTAGCAGAGATGGTGTTTCACCATGTTGGCCAGGCTGGTCTTGAACTCTCGACCTCAGGTGATTCACCTGCCTCAGACTTCCAAAGTGCTAGGATAGCTGGCATGAGCCACTGTGCCTGGCCTACTCCTATTATTATTACATTGTAATATAATTAGTGGGAGCCCTGAGCTTGTTTTCCTGAAACTAGATGGTCCCTTCTGGGGGTGATGGGAGACAGTGACAGATCAACAGGCATTGGATTCTCATAAGAAGCTCACTGTCCAGCTCTCTCGAATGTATTATTTACAGTAGGGTTTGCGCTCCTATGAGACTCTAACAATGCCACCGATCTGACAGGAAGTGGAGCTCAGGTGGTGATGCCAGCAATAAGGAGTGGCTGTGAACACTCCCTCGCCCACCCGCTGCTCACCTGCTGTGCTGTCTGCCCAGCTTCTAACAAGGAAGCCAGGCGCGGTGGCTCACACCTGTAATCCCAGCACTTTGGGAGACTGAGGCAGGTGGATTACCTGAGGTCGAGAGTTCGAGACCAACCTGACCAATGTAGAGACACCCTGTCTCTACTAGAAATACAAAAATTTGTATTTCTAGTAGAGAGAAAGGAGCCAGGCATGGTGGTAATCCCAGCTACTTGAGAGTCTGAGGCAGGAAAGTCACTTGAATCTGGGAGACAGAGGTTGCAGAGAGCCAAGATTACACCATCGCATTCCAGCCTGGGCAACAAAAGCAAAACTTCGTGTCAAAACAACAACAACAACAAAAAGAAGCCAGGGTGCAATGGCTCACACTTGTAATCCCAGCACTTTGGGAGAATGAGGAGGGCGAATCACCTGAAGTAAGGAGTTTGGGACCAGCCTGGCCAACGTGGTGAAACCTGTCTCTACTAAAAATACAAAAATTAGCCAGGTGTGGTGGTACATGCCTGTAATCCCAGCTACTCAGGAGGCTGAGGCAAGAGAATTGCTTGAACCTCGGAGGTGGAGGTGACATTTACCTGAGATCACACTGCTGCACAGAGTGAGACTCTGTCTCAAAAAAAAAGGAAAAAAAAAAAAGGCTACAGACTGGTACTGATCCATGGCCAGGAGGGTTGGGGACCCCAGCTGTATGAAATGATCAAATCAGCGTAACAGACAGTCATCACCTCAAATATTTATCAAATCCTTCTCTTCTGGCTATCTTGAAATAGTCAAATAAATTCTCATTCACTGTAGTTTCCCTTGTGCGCTATGGATTACTGTAACTTATTTCTTCTATCTAGGCCTTCTGGTCTTTCATTCTGTTTTTTAAGATTATTTTCATTTATTTCTGAGACAGTCTCTCTCTTTCTGCCAGGCTACAGTGCAATGACATAATCTTGACTCACTGCAACCTCCACCTCCTGGGTGCAGGCAATTTTCCTGCCTCAGCCTCCTGAGTAGCTGGGAGTACAGGCGTGCATCACCATTCCTAGCTACCTTTTTTTTTTTTCGTAGTGATGGGGTTTCACCATGTTGTCCAGGCAGGTCTCAAACTCCTGACCTCAGGCAATCCACCCACCTCAGCCTCCCAAAGTGCTAGGATTACAGGCATGAGCCACAGTACCCGGCCACTTATTCATTCTTCATTCATTCTATGAATAACTACTGCCTGGTTATTATATACCTGGCAGAGTTCCGGGCTCTGGGGAAACAGCAATGAGCAAAACAAAGTTGCTGCTGTCTTAATGGATCCATCGTTCTAATGAGGAGGAAAGAGACAGGCAATCCATGAAGAAACCATAAACACAAACAGCACATCAGGTGAGAGCGCTGTGAAGAATAAATACTAAAGTGGGTATGGCCAGGTGCAGTGGCTCACACCTGTAATCTCAGCACTTTGGGAGGCTGAGGTGGATGGATCCCTTGAAGTTAGGAATTCAAGACCAGCCTGGCCAACATGGTGAAATGCCATCTCTACTAATAGTACAAAAAAAAAAAAAAAAAAAAAAAAAGACCCAGGTGTGGTGGCACCTGCCTGTAATCTTAGCAACTCAGGAGGGTGAGGTGGGAGGATTGCTTGAACTTGGGAAATGGAGGTTGCAGTGAGCCGACATTTCATCACTGCACTCCAGCCTGGGCTGTCGTCAAAAATAAAAAGTGAAGAGAAATCAGGTGCAGGTTAGAGTGCATTCGCATGAGCAAGGGTGCTCTTGTGGTGGAGAAGGTGATAGACATGAGGGCTGAGCCTGGGGACTCCTGGGGAGAGCAGCATGGGAGGGCCCTAGGTATTGGTTCCATTTGTGGTCCTTTTGTTTAGATTTGATTTGTTTTTGACACAAAGTCTTGCTCCATCGCCCAGGCTGAAGTGAAGTGGCACAATCTCGGCTCACTGCAATCTCCACTAACCGGGTTCAAGCCACCTCAGTCTCCCAAAGAGATGGGATGGCAGATGTGAGTCACGTGCCCGGCCTATGCATCAACATGTTTAAATTCTTCTGAAAACTGTGCTTTAGAAAGAGTGTTCTGAAAGACATAGGAAATAAATGACAGAATGGCAGGGCAAGGATCGCATCAGTGACAGGGTGGCTGTGGAGATTTGCTGGCCAGCAGCAGGAAAGCCACACCCTGGATTCTACCTCTGCAGCCTGTCTGCACCTGAACCCTCCTCCCCACATCAGTGGAAGCCTGGAACTCTCAGAAAAGCAGACCTCACCGGCCGCTGCCACTTTCACCAGAATGATGTGATTCATTCATTCACACAGAAGACAGCAGGAACCCTGAGAAAACAGGATCCAGAATGTGTGGGTTTTGATGGACAGTGTGGTAGGATCTGGGAGGCTCCACCTGCCTCACCTCCTGAGCCCCACACTCCTTCCCCAGTCCTGCTCGGCATAGAGATTAGTGACATTACCAGAAAGGTAGATGCTTGGAAGGACACCAGCAACACGGAGAAGAGGAGGCCAGAGGTCCACAAGGCACCCAGCTCCTGGCCTCGGATGACCAGGACTGTCCAGAAAGGCTCCCTCACAGCCATGAAACTTGATGATCCTCGAGTTCCTGAGGATGGAGCTGGAGGGCTGGGCCCACAAGTCCTTCTGCCTCATTTGCTCTCCTGGGGTGGTCCAGAATTTTCCCCTGCACCCTGACAGTAACCCTGCAGTGAATCCCACTGATCTCACCAACTGCATACCAAAGCTGTCTTCCTCTCTGCATCTCTGACCCTCAGTCCTGATCCATCTACCATCATCCCGTGCCTGAACTCCTGCAGGAACTGACCTGGGACCACTGCCCTCGGGAGGCAGCTTCTGATGCCCAGAGAACAGAGGCTGCCCCTGAGCCCACCTGGGTATGGTGCCATCAGGAAGGCTACCTGGAGGTGGTGTAATGCCTGAGCTACATCTTTCTTTCTTTCTTTCAAATTGTTGGTAAAGTCAGGGGGTCTCACTATGTTTCCCATGTTGGCCTTAAGCTCTTGGGCTGAAGTGATCCTCTGGCCCTGGCCTAATGTGCTGGGATTACAGACTGAGCTACACCTTAAATGACCAGGAGGTAGGTGCTGGGCAGGCAGAGGATGAGGAGATGGGGCCAGAGAGGGAGGGAAGGGTTTGAGAGAGGGGGCAGAGAAAACCCAGGCACAGGGAGCAGCATGACTCAGGACACTCCGTGTGGCCAGAGGAGTGCGTGGGCAGGGTCGCTCGGCACTTTAGGGTCAGGCAGGAGTCCGGCATCTCCCGTGCTTCACCAGGTAAGGGGGGCATTATCAGAAGGCAGCTGCCAGGAGAAGGGTTTTTTTTGTTTTTTTGAGGG